TTGCTCAGTTGTCATATATACATCTCATACCCTGAGAGCGCAACTAGTCGTGAAGGATCACCTGTAGACAATTGGCTTGGCCAGACTGCCTGGCCCTGCATTCGCGGGCAGGAATTGTGGGCGCATTGACGGAAGGCCCAGCCATGTGTCCAGCGAGGATCGGTCAGTGACTGCTCTGGATTCTAGGGTTGTGAGTGCAAAAGCTAGACGCTCGTCGGCGATTTGCCCCTCCAGGAACTCACTAAATGGGCGAGACTTTGTGCGATCTGATAGAACAGCGCCGCATGTGTAGGATGGTGAGCGGGAATGATGGAGGCTCTTGTGAGGTGTATCTCGGGAGCCAAAGTGTTAGCAAAGCTAGCCACCGTTATTGGGCTCGGTAACACACGCGTCGGCCAGGCTACCTTATTCGGTTCATCAAGGCATGGCTTGCCCGACGTGCTGCATAACTTGAGTCCAGTACCTGTAGTCTCATTGCTTGTCGTCTACATGTCCCGAAAAGACAAAATGTCAGCAAGCGCGCACCCAATCTCGCTATTGTTTTGCCGTAATCAAGAGATGAGGTTCAAGACGGCCCTCGTCGTGGGCGTAGCACCTAGGGACCGCCCCACGCGCCGTCACCAACCCCACCTGCCCTAAGCGTACTAAGGCAGTCTGCATTACCAGGGAGCTCGGGCTAGCTACTTTACCCAATTGCATCACCACCACAACTTCATATCGCCCACACACCAGTGCAAAGTCATTTTGTTTGTGCGTTGAACCGTCATTCAAGATGGCTTCTGATCTGGCTAAGGCCACTCAGGGTCTATCTCTTGGAGACGACGCCTTAAACATCGACGATATTCTGTTTGAGCAGCGACCACGCAAACGAGTCAAACGGAATGTGTTGGAACTCAGGACACACCTTGAGGACAAGTTCCTTACGCCTACCACAGAATTCTCACCAATTTGGCTCAACCGACTCCAACAGTAAAGTCTAACCATTGTTCATCGTCTCCTTATTGTTGCTAACTTGATCTCTCTAGACGCTGGGACTGCCCCGTGGACTACAATGAGCTGTTCAAGATTGGTCAACCTCAGACCCGAACCGTCACACGATTTCAGAGGCATGGTCTAGAGGGCAGAGTGACAGGCTACAAAAATGTGACTGTCCCTGCTAACAGTGCCACGGCGAAAAACTCTACTTCATTCCTGCGCAAGCCAGCCAGCAGAGCTGACTTCGTACGAGGTGCCGCTGGCTTTTTCCCTTTTGCTCCCGGCGGTTTGGAGGGCATCGAGGCCACGGCCGCTCTCGAGGACCAGGTCCATCGAGCTGGCGTGGGTGACGATGCAGCACCCTCGAACAAGCTCGAGAGAGTAATCAAACTTGGCGAGGGCGGGCTGCTCGAAGTTGCTCCCGGCCTCAATCGCGGTATTGACGTCAGCATGAAAAAGACTAACGAGGATGAGGCCAGGGCAGTGGAGCAAGAGCTGGACCAAGAGCCTGAGGAGGCGCTGGAAGTCGAAGAGCCGGCAAGCGAAGCTCAAACAAATGGCGAAAGGGATCCTGAGTCCGACGAGGAAGACGGCGAGGACATCGATGCTATCTTGCCTGTTGAGTTCCCGGCTTTGGAGCCACACGGTACCCTTACAGCGTCAAGTGCTAGGAAGGTTGGACGAGAATGGGCCCATATGGTCGACATCAAGAGAGAGATCCCAAATTTCAGGGAGCTGGTGCCCGACATGGCAAGAGACTGGCCCTTCGAGCTCGACACTTTTCAAAAGGAAGCCATCTATCATCTCGAAAACGGCGATTCTGTCTTTGTCGCTGCACATACTTCAGCGGGCAAGACTGTTGTCGCTGAGTATGCCATCGCCCTCGCTTCAAAGCACATGACGAAGGCCATCTATACCTCACCCATCAAGGCTTTGAGCAACCAAAAGTTCCGGGACTTCCGCCAAACATTCGATGAGGTGGGAATCCTGACCGGCGACGTCCAAATCAACCCAGAGGCAAGCTGTCTGATCATGACTACGGAGATTCTGCGCAGTATGCTCTATAGAGGGGCAGATTTGATACGGGACGTTGAGTTCGTTATCTTTGATGAGGTGCACTACGTCAATGATTTTGAACGCGGTGTAGTCTGGGAGGAGGTCATTATTATGCTTCCAGAGCACGTCACGCTCATCCTGTTATCTGCTACTGTACCCAACACTTACGAGTTCGCTTCTTGGGTTGGAAGGACAAAGCAGAAAGACATCTACGTCATCTCCACCCCAAAGCGCCCCATTCCACTTGAGCATTACCTCTGGGCTGGCAAAAACATACACAAGATTGTGGACTCCGACAAGAAATTCGTCGAAAAAGGGTGGAAGGAAGCCAACCAGGCCATTCAAGGCAAGGACAAGCCGAAGGCCCCGGAAACGACCAACTCGGCGCGTGGGGGCGGTGTTGCTGGCCAGAGAGGAGGCCAGAGAGGTGGAGCACAGCGCGGCGGGCAGCGCGGCGGACCTCGGGGTGGTGGAGGCCAGCAAAGAGGGCGTGGCGGACCACCACGTGCCAGCCATGCCCCAGGCCACCTAGGACGGACCGGTCGTCAAGGCGGCTTCACATCGGCTGCTCAGGACAAGAATCTCTGGGTTCATCTTGTGCAATTTCTCAAGAAGTCCAATTTGCTACCTGGCTGTATCTTCGTCTTCTCGAAGAAACGGTGCGAGGAAAATGCCGATGCACTTAGCAACCAGGACTTCTGCACCGCCGCCGAGAAGAGTGCGATTCATATGACTATTGAGAAGTCAATCGCCAGATTGAAGCCCGAAGACCGAGTCCTCCCTCAAATAATCAGACTGAGGGAACTCTTGTCGAGGGGTATTGCAGTCCACCATGGAGGCCTTCTACCCATTGTCAAAGAGATTGTCGAGATTCTCTTCGCTCAAACTCTCGTTAAAGTGCTATTTGCAACGGAAACATTTGCCATGGGTCTTAACTTGCCAACTCGAACTGTCGTGTTTTCAGGCTATCGGAAACACGATGGTCATTCGTTCCGAAACCTACTTCCCGGTGAATACACGCAAATGGCTGGTCGGGCAGGGCGCCGAGGCCTGGACACTGTTGGTTCAGTTATCATTGTTCCGCCAGGTGGCGATGAGGCCCCCCCAGTTGTTGATCTTCAGAAGATGATCTTGGGAGAGCCATCGAAGCTAAGATCCCAATTTCGACTCACTTACAACATGATTCTCAACTTGTTGCGAGTGGAAGCACTCAAGATCGAAGAGATGATTAAGCGCAGCTTTTCAGAACATGCCACACAACAGCTGCTGCCGGAGCATGAGAAAGCCGTCAAGGTTTCGGAGGCCGATCTGGCCAAGATTAAGCGGGACTCATGCAATACCTGCGACGCATCAATTGACGACTGTCACCAAGCCTCTCAAGACTACAAAGTGCTGACCGAGGAAATGTATAAGTTCCTCCTTGGCATCCCTATCGGCCGCAAGATGTTCAGCCAGTCGCGCCTGATTGTGTACAATAAAGATGGCATCCGTACGCCGGGCATTCTGTTGTCGGACGGGGCAACAAACAAGGGCCCACAGGGCAGTCCAACTCTGCATGTATGCGAGATCAGACTCATGAGGGAAACTCGGGACTCGACCGACCTTCTGCCCTTCATTCCGGCTTTTCGCAAATATCTTACGCCGCTCCCACAGGCGAAGAAGCACATTCGCATTAAGACCTTGCATGTGCCCCTGGGCGATGTGGAGTGCCTCACCAGGTACGTGACGAAGGGTATCGTGCCAGAGATCTTTCAGAGTGGCGAGAAGTACATCAAGGCAAAGGACAGACTCCATTCGATCTGTCGATCATGGGACGACCTGTGGGATGAGATGGACCTTTCCAAGATCAAAAACCTGCAATTTCAGGAGATGATGAAGAAACGAAAGGATGCTGAGCTCATTGCATCGTCGTCTCCATCACTATCCTGTGGACAGTTCTTGAAGCATGTAAGTGACATCTTTTTACAAAGACATATTGACGAAGAGCGCCTACTAACGCTATATGAACAAACAGTTCGCGATGTGCCATGATCAGTGGCTCATCAAGGAGCATATTTCTCAGTTGCGCCAGTCTCTGTCGGACCAGAATCTACAGCTGCTTCCCGACTATGAGCAACGAATCCAGGTGTTGAAGCAGCTTCAATTCATCGACGAGAGTTCCAGAATTCAGCTCAAGGGCAAGGTAGCTTGCGAAATCCATTCAGGCGATGAACTCGTCCTGACGGAGCTGATTTTGGACAACGTGCTCGCAGACTACGAGCCGGCTGAGATTGCAGCTTTGCTTTCTGCCTTCGTGTTTCAGGAGAAGACTGACTCACAGCCAAATTTGACAGGAAATCTTGAGCGTGGCAAGGACACCATCATTGCTATCAGCGAGAAGGTTAACGAGGTACAAACGCTGTACCAGGTCATCCAAGCCGCGGACGATTCCAATGACTTCATATCTCGTCCTAGATTCGGTCTGATGGAGGTGGTCTATGAATGGGCGAGAGGCATGAGCTTCAAAAACATCACCGACCTCACAGACGTGCTTGAGGGCACAATCGTGCGAACCATCACGCGGCTTGACGAGACATGTCGTGAGGTGAAGAACGCTGCTCGTATCATCGGCGATCCGGAACTGTATCAGAAGATGCAGACTGCACAGGAGATGATCAAGCGGGATATTACAGCAGTAGCCAGTTTGTACATGTAGAAAATAAAGTGTTTGACATGCCTCAAGTCTAAGCATAATACGCGTTGGCCGACGATTTGCCTAAGTTTCGATTAAAACCACGAACATGCTGCCGCGGCACAGAGCCCTCCTACAGAAGACTCCTTCCCATGACGTTTTGTGTTCGTGAGCTCATTCCTCCAGTATTCTTCTCGCGTGTGCCAACTCCCCAAAAACGCCTAATTAAAAAAGTCCCGAAATCCTTAATGAGTGATGCCAGCCTTGGCTGCTTAATTTGACAGCGTCCGATACAAATCTATGCTCTCAAAGCCCGCAGTCTTTGTTGCAAGGCATCCTCCTCTTCCGCAGTAGGCTCACTAGCCACAAGCTCCTCCTTGGCTGGTGTTGCGCTATTGAGCTCAGCGTTGAGCTGCACGCCTGCATCATCAGCTAGCTTGCCTAGTAGCTCATGGACCGCGTCCTCGGATACCTGGGCGCTGGTAGATTGCGAAATGGCGTCCTGATAAATGCCGTTGGACATGGCATACTCCTCGTTTTGCTGTTTGAACTGCTCCAATGTAACAAGGGTCTGAAATAGAAAATGGCTTGTAAGTAGAGGCCGACGGTGTCACTACGGTGGTTGTTGCACCGACTCGACATACCTTCTCGGGGTTCATGTTCTTCTGTGCGAGGGACATGGTACGAGACGACTGTCCCATCATGTGCGTCATGCGATTCATTGAGTTATTGGCCTGGATTTGGGCGGCGGAGAGCTCGGCCATATCCGCCATTTGATCCATCTGCTGAGCTAAAGCTTGCTTAGAAAGAAGCATTTTAGCCTTCTGATATGCCTTTGCTGTTTCACCCTTCTTCAGCAGCTATCCGATCGAACATTAGCCGTGGTTCAAAGCAACATTGCGACGCGCTGTCTGGCGATGACCAACATCTTGGATTTGCTTCTTCAGGATTGGGTCTTGCTTCGCGGCCTTCTGCGCTTCTCGTCGGGCTTGCTTGGCTTGGAACTAGAGTTCTGTCAGTAATCATAGAAACGGTGACTTCTCACAGCACGATGGCTAATCAGTATCTCGTACGTACCCTCGCCTGGAACTCTACTTGCATGTCTCGGGACAGCTGACGGTTCGACATGATGTCGTCTGGAGCCTATTCAGGATCGGGTATGTGGTGGCGGGGTTAACGAGAGGTTATCGCAACGCTACGGCTCTGAGAGTATCGTTTGCCTAATGGCAGTCGGGTAGGACGGGTTTCACGGAAGAAATATGAAAAGTACAGGCTGTGAACAATATGGTCAACTTCGGACGTGGAGGTTATGTGTCACAAGAAGTCTTGCCGGTCATTCAGGTGGCCAGTCAGGTGTTGGACGATGATGGTCGGCAGGCGACACGAGATAACGAGCGGTATCGGTTCACAAGCTGGCAGCCTGACACCTGCGCCGGGCGGGGCCATCTCCCAGACCAGCCATACTGCATGACGTAACGCTTCTAGCCGTGCTGGTGTGTTAGGTAAGCGAAACACCAGCCCAAGCCACTGCCACATGAGCCTTGACACCAGCACGCCTGTGGCTCATCATCAGTGGTTTGTTGGACTGGTAGCCTCAAACCGGACGAACTATATTGCCGGAAATTGGATGAGACGATATCTATGATGCTCTCATGCGGACGCCCGCGTGGTGAAGGGAATAGAGTATTAAAGTCTAGCCCGAGAAAACCACCCCTAAACGGCATATCAACGTCTTCTGTAAATCGATTCTCCCATGGCTGCAAAACTAAAAATGAATGTGCAATCGTTTCCACGACCTCCACTGCTGGAGAAGGTGTCAAAACACCTGCGAATTACTTGGCAAGGCGAAATGATTGCAGACACCAAGGATGCCTACTGGGTGCTAGAGACTCACCATCCTCCCAGTGTGTTTTTCCTGTGCCACCATCATAATTATTCGAACCGTTACTGATTCTTGGACAGCATACTATCTCCCTACCACTTCCGTTAACGTCCCACTCACCCCGACGCAACGGAGTACATACTGCGAGTGGAAGGGTGCTGCAACTTACTACGCAATTACTGCACCCAGAACATCCAATGCTCAGGAACCACAAGTCGTATCGAATCGCATCTGGTCGTACAATTCCCCAACGCCCGGGTTCGACGCAATCAAGGGATATTTGTCTTTCTATGCAGGACCGTGGGACTGTTTTGTAGATGGGGAACTAGTTGAGCCTCAGCCAGGTGATTTTTACGGTGGCTGGGTAACTTCGGACATTGAAGGCATTGTCAAAGGTGCTCACGGTAATTGGGATCCTGTCTTGTGACAGGTTTCCAGATGCAAGATTACGAACTGAGGGTAGTGAATAACGGTACGGATGTCGAAGGCCACGCAAGAAGTGCATGCGACGGGCAGAGGACGTCTGGAAGATAAGGGGTCTTTTGCGACTGAGGGAACAGTTCACTGTACGTACCTCCGTTCCTTACATTGAAACAACGATTAACAGGGGCAACAGGGGGAAAATTGACGACCAAGGTGTCTGGCCTTCCGTGATTGTTCTCGAACTAGGTGGGGAGGGAGGTACTTCGTTCTCCTCTTGCCGATGCCCGACTAGTACTGAGAGACGGTTTTTGACAGCTAATTACGTACCCTATTCAGCTTTTCGTCCTCGGTCGTCTCGCTGCCATCTGCGGCAGACGAAGGTCTTTCACTCTCACTCGGCCCTGAAGGACATTGACTGAATGAGTATGAATCCGAATCCGACACTACATGGTTGTATGCGACGAGCAGGTATGGGTACCACAAAAAGGGGTTCTGGGATGAGTATGCGGGGAAACTTTGGTACTTGTCACATCCTCGGTTTGTTTATAGCGTAGACAGGCTACAGCCATTTGCGTCGGTGCAAATCATCGTTGTCGTCGTATCTTGAACATGACCTTAATGTCGAACCAGCACGCAGTACACAGGAGTTCTCGGAAATCCATCCCTTCGACTCATCAAGGTGCACGGAGATTCTGCGTTAGGTCTTCCTCTTCTGCCACCAGCTAGACCTTCTCACATCCTTTGCTCTTTTTGGAGACGACAAAACGGAGAAGATATATTGACGTACCGAACGGCGCGCCAACAGCGTGCCACGCCCGATTTTTAGATTGAGAGAGCGTCGGCTGCTATTACGTGACTGGACACACAACTACCTGAGGCGTCGACATAGGACTCGGTAGGAGGGCAAAGGCGACAATGAAGGCGACGGCGACTAATGTAATCATAGTTTGTCTTAGCTCGTCGCAAGACGTTGAGGCGAACTTGACATCAGTACATAGACCGTCGATCAAAGTCTCGACGGCATGTCAGTGGTTTCATCGGAGGTACACCGTACATATTCAGCCGGGCACATTCCATTTGTCATTGGCAGCTCTTAAAGTTCATGGCTGGTACTCCCTAAACCGTATCAAAGGCATAGACATGACGAACAGCGGCCTTCAATGGTGCACCCCCAAGGTTGAAGGCGTCGCAGTCTGGACTCAGGAGTCGCCTGCCGGCCAGTGCAGCGGATCTGCGGCAATCAGAACGCCTAGGTCGCCTCAGAAGCGGTGATCCGATGGATGGGTACGCCGGTGAAGCGGCCGCATCTCTGGTGTCGAGTGCGGAGCGCAGAGCGCCGGCGAACTGTACGACCCCTCCTTGTCCACCGTAAAAAAGCGGCGTAGGATGGAGACACGCAATATGCTGATCAGGCTGGTGAAGTTCCCTTACTTCGACTGGATGAAGCGAGGTCCAAGGAATCGGAGCGGGAGACAGTCGGTATGAGATTCCTGGATTCCTGGGCAGGCAGGGAGGATCAGGAAGCGTGTTTCCAAGGTGGATGAGACAAAGACGAAGACGACTCAGCAGCACCACAGTGTGCAATGTCTAGGCCCGGCCAATTATGCTGGTTCTGGGTCATTTTCGCAATAGAATTTTGCGACCTTGAGATGGCACCAAAGTATAAAACATGGAAGCATATGAACGGAGCGAAAGGTAGTTCTAGTAAGATTCAGCCCGGATTGGGGCACTGTCTTCCGTAAGACACTGAGGTTGGAGGAGAAATTCGCAGTGGCGGCGCTGACTGAGTAAGGTCGCACGAGGGGTGAGGTCTTCAAACTTGGGTGGGCCTGAGCTGGAGCAACGCCGGGGAAGTCGGGTGGCTAAGTTTAGCAAGCGGCGGGCGGTAGACGTCGAGGCACACTAAATCAGCTATCGTTTCCGACGTCTGCCGGCGATGGATACCGCGAGTCGTCTCTGTGGGTCGCTTCGGACCTGGACGCATTGCCGCGTAGCACTGTAGCAGAAATGGCAAGTGCGTGAATCGGGTTCGTTGCTATATAGTATTTCAACGGTGAAGAGAGTCGGCAAGTTGCGGTGAGCTCAGCTGACAGCAGCGCATGCCGTGTCAGCCATGTAGGCACCTAGTCAGCCAGGTCAGCAACGGCAGATGAGGCACGGCACGCAACACAGCGGAGCGAAGCCAAGCTTACGTGAAGATACGGCAGAGGATCGATTGATCAACCTGGTCAGCGAGAAGCATCCGGACTATCCAGTGCGTCGAAGCCCGCTCGCTTGAGCGGACTCGGAACCTACGAAGAGATGGTCAATTAATTACAGTTCGTGCCTCGCGGAAGCATAGAAAAGGGGGATGCTCCCTGGAGCGGCGCGGCCTACGTTTGGCACGGTGCGCCATTCGTGTTTCCGCCCCGTGGCTCCCGTGTTTCCTGTTTAGAGCTGACCCAAGGCGCCCCCCATTTGCAAGCTGGACGTGGAACTGGGGAAGACATCCGAGCCAGTGAAACCATGGAGTCGCTACACGCTCCTGCTCCTTTCACTGCTGTCAGCTACATAGATCCACCAATCACCATCCACTTACCTCGCTGGATTCGCTCCGAATGGCCCCCTTGCGCCTAGTACCTACCTCCCTTTTGGGGTTTCGCCCACTCACACTGATGACCATCCTCTGCGCCCCCCTCCACTCTACGAAGGTATACGTATCTACAGGTACTTTCCTTACCTTTCTGCAGGCAGGCACGATACGGAGTAGACAAACACGACAAGTCCTACCTCCTGAGACCTTGCGTGATTGACCCCATTTTAGGCGGCACCCTTGCTTCGCTTTCGCCCCCTGTTCCACTACGACCTCCACTGTGGCCTCAGGTACGGAGGACGCGGCCAAAAGTATTCGTACATCAGGGGGCCCATGTCGCCGTGCGATTATCGGTGGGGTTGTGGCCGTAGAGACTGTAGATGATCTTTTGCCTGTTTCGGAAGCAATATCAGTGCGTTAAAACGAGGATGCCCTAAGCAAAAATTAGCCCACACCATCATATTAACACTAATATCCTGTTTGGAGGTTAGCTTCAAAGGGGGGGGTATCCTTACCTTAAACTAAACGCCACCAACGCCACTATATACGCCTAATACCAGTGAAGTCGAAAGAATAGGATATCGCGATGAGGGCCTCAATCCTGGCCCTATGGGGGTTGGGTAAGTCGACAGTTGCCGAGATCTGTAGAGACTTCGAGATGCCCTGAAGTATGTTTACCTCGATACGCAAAAAAGCTATAGATCGAGGATAGTAGCTAGGAAACGCTATACTTAACGCACACGTTGAGAACAGCTATCAATATAGGCGCCCATTAGTTATTATTAATGAGCTTGAGGTTCTAATCTTAGACGTTCTGACGAAAAATTTAATAACTAGGTGGTACTTGATGCAGCAAATTGCTGATGTGATCCGCTACATGTTCGTTCAGAATAACTTCTCGATTAGTCGGTAAACTATATATCGATACCTTAAAAGTAAGCGCTTCTGTAGCGTTAAACTGACGACTAAGCCTGGGCTGAATAACTAACAAAAGAAAGCGCGACTGCGGTAAGCACTGCAGTATGGTTTCTGGACGATTGAGGATTGGAAGAGGGTTGTGTGGAGTGATGAGACCTCTGTGGTATTGGGGGCGATCTGTGGCAAGCGGAGGGTCTAGCGGAGACCCCACAAAGCCTTTCACCACCACGTTATTAGACGTAGGTGGAAGGGTCGGTAAGAGTTCATGTTTTGGGGATGCTTTTGCTGGCATAAGGTTGGGCCCTGCTACGTGTGGCGACAGGAAACAAAAAATGAGCGAGAGTGATACGCGCGGTGGATGGGCAGACGCAATCAACGCCATGAGGCGGCAGATCGAGCAAAATGGGAAGCTGCAGAGGTTGTGAGAGTGGCTGGCTTAAAAAGGAAGCCCTTGAGGCCTAAGTAGTGGAAATATATAGCTGAAACTGGCGCTATGGAATGAGGCTTGAAAAAAGGTGGTATTAACTGGTGTTGATATTAGCATCTGATTCTGAGGCTACTTTTCATGCCTTTTATTAAGTAATAGTAATATACCTGCCTAGATATAGTGGCGTAAGAGGATAATGCTGGCCCTCACGCCTCGCACTAGAATCAAGAGCTGTGGGCGAAGTCGGGCATAACTCTCATGGGCTGGCTAGCTAATTCGCCAGATCTCTCAGCGATCGAGCCTCCCTGGGCATATCTAAAGCGGCGGCAGGGGCTTATTAGCATCAACAGCCGCCAGAGATTAACCTGAATATGGAAGGAAAACTGGAAGAACTTCCTACTTAAGAAGTTACAGCACTTCGTGGAGCGAATCTAGCGAAATATCTAGTGGGTGATCCAGCTGAAGGGGGGTAACAAATATAAAGAAGGGGCAGCCTTACCAACGTTAACGATAGAAGAAGAGGTAACGCTACGTGCTGAGATTAATGCTTTTTTGGCTTAGCTAGATGTTGTGGTGGTGAATAACGATAATCTGTGGCAAGAGATGGTTGATGGGCTTGACGATCTTGACTTGGATTGCGAGGCTAGCGGATGCGCCGCGCGCGCCGCTGAGGAGGCAGAATGGTTAGAAATTGACGATGTAAGCGATTTTGACGTAGAAAAGTAGGAATCTGGGTAAAAGAGGGTAGGAGAGATTGAATATAGCCTTAGAAATGCGATATTTGCGTTGCGCGGGGTGTTTTTGGTGGTATAGTAAAAATTTGGCGTTTTTTTGCGATCTTAGCGATGGTAAAATTGACTGCGTACGTTGAGGTGGGGTGGAGGGGTTGTTGGAGGCGCTGGGGGCTAGCGCCGAAGTTTAGCCGGCTTCTGGTTGGCCGCACTGTGATTAAAAGTGGGGATGTACGAATACTTTTGGCCGCGTCCTCCGTACACCCGTAGGTCCTTCTCGCCCTTGCGGCCTTGGGGGCCTTGAGGGCTTGGGCATTTTTGCCTGAGGCAATGCACGTTGACCATCCCAAAGCGCCCCCTTGCACGGGGCCAGCGTGGCCTCAACTTACAAAAGAGGCCACATCGCCTGCATCTCACATCGTGGGCTAGTAATCCTCAGCTCTCACCACGCCAAACCCATCCTACGAGAGAGAACACTTGTCAACTTGCCCCAGGACCCGGACGATCAAGCTTCCACTTGGACCTGGTGCCTTGTGTCGGTGACTCACCTAATCCGTCTGACTCATTCTACGGGTCCTCGTCAAAGAGGTATCATGCCTTCTTAGAACAACGCTCTTTCTATATCTTTTTGTATGAGGAATTAGGACGGCACCTCCATACTTTCAATAACCCACTTCACACCCACATCACTGCTGCAACACACTTCTCCCCCGCACCTTGCCTTCCAACTCTCCGCATTGGAACTGGCAGGTCGATTGTGTCTCGCGCTTCGCACCAACGAAAAAGTCCTCCTCTCTGCCTATCCCACAGCCCTGTTGCATCACCATCACAACCACAAACTACGATGGCTGCTTGGGAACAGACGTCACCAATGATCAAGTTCGAAGACTCGCCTGCCGAGTCTTTCGTTTCGACTCCGGGCGAGCTCTATCCATCACTCTTTGGCGACGCCGCACCCTCGGCCGCCGATGATACCACCGTCAACCCCTCTGATATGTTAACGCCTCCGCCCTTCACCGAGGACAACCCTGTCTCAACCCCGGACACCGACTCTCCTTCGACTGAGAAGAAGCCCGTGAAGAAGAGGAAATCGTGGGGTCAAGTTCTCCCGGAGCCCAAGACAAACCTCCCACCAAGGTATGACGCAATCGGATAATGCCCCAGGCCCGTAGCTAACCCCCAGTAGGAAAAGAGCGAAGACCGAAGATGAGAAAGAGCAGCGTCGAGTCGAGCGCGTCCTCCGCAACCGCCGAGCCGCTCAGTCTTCTAGAGAGCGCAAGCGTTTAGAGGTCGAGGCTCTCGAGAGGCGGAACAAGGAGCTCGAGGCAGCCCTTTCAAACGTCACCAAAGCGAACCAGCTCTTGGTGGAAGAGCTGAATAAATTTCGCCGTGACTCTGGCATGCTGACTCGGTCATCATCGCCTCTCGATCCTCTCCGATCCAACACTGTCACCCTATCACCAGAGCTTTTTGGCTCTCATGATGGACACCGTCCCTCTATTGATGAGACGAAGAATCTCGTCGATGATTTGATGACTACGTCTCATAGCAATCCGACCGTCAACCCCGCGTCGCTATCCCCCGAGCTTTCGCCAATCGCAGAAGATGACGAGGTGGATGCCGAGGACAACGATGTGGCCGAGACCAACGTGAAGTCCTCCTCCGACTTGACACAACGTCCTGCAGCGATGTTGTGCGACCTGCAGTGTCAACAGTCGGAGGACCTTCCGCAATCATGGCTGGCCTCTCAAACCCCTCTGCATCCGACCTTGGTCTTCTTTCTGCAGCTTCAGATGCTGTCAATCACATCATCGGTGATTCTTTCAGTCTGTCGGCGGCCCTTGACACAGATCGCTATGTCCTTGAAAGCGGGCTTCTCTCTTCCCCCAACTCCCTCGATTATGAACACGATTATCTGGCTGGTGACTCTACCGCCTTCCTCCAGGACCCATTCGACATCAGCGAATTCCTCAACGACGAGGTCAACGGCAGTGTCTCAGACACGAACGTGGTTATCGGCACAGCCGTCGCAGCGGACCCGGACTACGGCCGCGACTCTACCAACTCTGAGACTCAAGTCTCTTCAGAGAATCCTAACCTGCAGCCCCACTCTGGCGCGTCCACTTATGGATGCGACGATGGAGGCATTGCGGTTGGTATCTGAAGGATGCGACGAACGTGTTGAAGGGTTGTCGACTGAACCTTCGGCGGGGCGCGACTGCGGTCAGACACCACGGACGTGGTTGAATGGCGCACCGTTGCCGTCTAGAGAGGTGCTCATGACCTTGTTATGGGCTCTGAGGGTTGAAGAGCGGAATCTGGTCCGGAAGGGTCAACTTGCACCGCAAGACATCCTGTATTCGAGAAATCGTGCCTCGACATCAGCTAGCACTTATGTGTTTACAGTAGTTTCCAAACGGAAGCCTGATGAAGCGGATGTGACGGAATTTGGGAAGCGTTGTCGATTAGCTTGATAAAGGTTATGACTATGGTGGTGGGAATGGTCACGGCGTTATGGATGGTGTCCAGCGAAATTAGAGGTCAAACCTGGGAAATGTAACAACAAATACTGAACGAGAGTCGCCTTGCGACCAATGAACAAAATTCTAAGACCCGTTTCAAGATAATCCCAAAGTGTGTCGACGGGCTCACGAAAGCAGTGTGTATATCCAGTCTAAATGAATGTGTTCGTCGGGGCTGGACAACGCTTCTGCTATTGACACCGTCCGTGATTGTGGTAAATAGGTTGGGGACGCTGACTTAATAAGAAACCACTGAATCCTGGTGGTTCAGCAGGACGTGGCGTTGTTCAGCCTCGACGATTAAAGCTGTTAGTTGAGTATTAAACTATTTGCGTTAGACAATATCCCATCCGACTTAATCAATGTGCATGCCGCCTTAACAACGCCTTTTGCATCGTTTCTCACTCTTCAGTGTTTGTTCCATGCAGCCTCGAAGCACTTTCTCTTGCGCCAAGTCCAACTCTAACGTTCCCTCCCGAAGGCGCTGTAGGACGTGACAAGAAGAAAGTTCATTCCCGTGGTTCAAGCGACGGCAATCCATAGAAGACGTGATGCCCCGCGGTCTAGCCTCCGTTTATCGTTTTCGCCTTCTCCCCCTTTCCAAGTTTCGTTACACAGTCGGTGATCAAACATAATTCGTCGGAATCACCACAAGCCGCCCATCTCAGCCATGGCTGCCTCTTCGTCTTCAAAGTCATCCCCGGCTGGTTGGTTATGTGGAAAGTGAGCCGGTGATTGCATCCGGTCAGCCATCTCTGCTTCCGCCATAAGAGCATCCAAGTCGTCGTCCCCGTCTGGTTCTTCAGTTGGCTTCGGTGCTCCTAACGCTTGACTCTTGGGTGGCATTACGGGCGTAGCTCCGTATATATCGTCCTCGTCCGGAACAGCTGCTTCTGGTGTCTTCGGGCGCTTTTGTGTGATAGAAGCTGGTGCACTCGCTGTTGCCTCGGCAGCCACAGGACCCTGAATTTCAGCTTCCACCTCGAAAGCGTCATCCGCCTCCCAGGGTTTGGGTTTGCCCTCATTGATCCATTCCAATCGCTTGTGCGCAATTTGCTTCTTGTGCCCCGTCTTTTCTACCATCGCTACGGCGTCGAGAAATTTGGCTTTTGGAAATAAGTCGTCCAGCCAGAGTTGGTAGAAGGATAGCAAGCGGGCTGCATCAGAGAACTAGCAGTGAGTTAGTTGTATCCACGGAATACGCGTCAAAGTAGCAAGAAAGCCGACCTCGTGTCCCTTCCCCTTAAATTGGAGATCTGCGGCGCGCTTTCGAAGCTTGGGGATGCCATTGTCCGAGAGTAGTCTGCAAAAACACGTCGTCAGCTACACATTAGACATGAATGATCGGCTGCGCCAAACCTCACCTTGCCTCGTCAAGTTTGACTCTCGGAACCCTCGCTCGCTTATTCACTTCAACTTCTTCTTCGAGCCCCAGTGCTTCACCCTGTTTCCTCTTGTTCACGCCGAGCTCCTTTGCGTCCGGGGGCGGGGTTCGAAACGGGTCATCAAAATCTTCAACGGCATAATTGTCCAAGTCATCATACGCGGGTGTTATTCTTGATGTCATGTTGACGAGGCTCTGGGACTTCACGAGACATCAACAGATTGCACCCAGGGTGGACTATATATTGCCTTAAGATGGGATTGTCACTAGCCGGCGACCACACGCGGCGCGACTTCAATTAAGAAACGCGTCTGTCCGTTGCCGCACAGACCTTTCGATGGGCGAGCCACAAAGTCGGAGACGCCACAGCCACATACTTCAGCGCAGGCCTCTGGAGTGGTGCCTCAGGCAAAATGTTCCAAGTTCAGTTCCAATCAGCGCCCAGCCATATCCAATTCATCAACCACTTCGAATTGCTGGACGACGATAGCCACCACCGACGCAGTTGGGTCTTGAATTGTCGTCCGCGACCATGGCTACCGCACAAGTGCAGACATACATTCCCACCAAGGTCGTCAAGAGCGATTATCCTGTTCGTACTCCGTCTACGATTCCTCGTTTCTCCGCTGCCGATAACGCTAACGTACTTCCACGAAGCTCATCGACAATGACCCGTATGCCCGAACCCGATTGTCCCGGGCCATATGACAGCTCAGGTCGATTGCTAACGCCGGAATGCCCACAGCCACTTCAAGAGGGTCGTTGGCTATGCCAGGCCTTCCGATTATGCCCACGGAGCTGTAGCCGCAGCCTTCGCTCCTGGCGCTCTCCTTGCCCTCGAGAAGTTCGCTCCCTCACATGTCGGTAAGGGAGGTTTGGCGCAAGCCATGCGCCTCGCTGGAGCCATCGGTCTTGCTGGAGGATTTCTTTACTTTTACCAGCGCTCTAGCTGTGAGTTTGTACGACGATCTGAAGGAACGGAGGCACTAACCACAAAGGCATAGTGCGATTTTACGGTGCCACCGAGAACGCGAGAGAGGTTGAGATGGATATGAAGGAGATGGTCTCCAAGGTCAAGGCGGGAAAGCCGCTGTATGGCGAGAGCAGGTTGACCCCTCACATGCAGGGCGTTGCTGCAAGACAGTCAAGATACTCTGCTCTGTTCATGGGCGTCGTGCCTTGGTTCAACTTTGTCAATCACAACCAGCATGGTGTCGACACCGCGAAGTACTACCAACAAGCTGAGAGAGAGCTTGAAGCTGAGCGTTTGAAGATCGGGGCCTCTTGATTGCCTAAGAACCTGTGTGTGGTCATGCTGCATAAGAAAGACAACAACCTTTATGTATTATAGCTTAAGCAGGGAAAAGCTAATGCAAATTACTTACTCTACTAAATAGGCAAATTACCTCTATAATTATACTTCTAAGGTTAAGAATTTAAAATAACTAATAAGATTAAACTTATTTATAGCTGTTATATATAAATATTATTTTAAATCTGGAATATATATATTATAATTTTTTATTAAATAAAGTCTTAATTAAAAAAAATTAAGTTTTATAATATATATTTTATATAAAATAATAAAAAATATAAAGTTTTAAATAAATATATAGTTTTAATAAAAATATAATAAACTATATAAGTATATTTAGAAATATTAAGTATTACTAAAAAAGGAATAGCTATAAAAAGCTACTTTATACTTATTAAACTTATTACTACTTTAATTAAAGTAATTTAAATTAAAGAGAAAAAGGTTATTAAAACTAAAAGATATAATTATTAATATAAAGCTTTAATAATAAAACTATTATAATACTTTAAAATAATATTTGTTAGTAACGCCAGCCTATTGCAGCGTTAATTAAGCTAGGCGTGCCTTACGTAATCAGCAATTATATAAGGCGCTAGCCTCTGTAATTAATACTATAATTACAGTTACTACCTCTAACGCAGTTAACCTTATCTATATCACTACTAATATAGTTAATATAATATAATATTTACTGCTTATAGTGCCCTACTAGCTAGCTAGTCCTATAAGATTAATACTAATTAGTAGTTAATTTTATAGTTATTATTATGCAATATATTAATTAACTATAGATTAGTAAGGTTTTAGAAGAGGTAGTTTTATTAATATTTATTTAGATTTATTCTACTTAGAAATACTTAATTAATTAATTTATACTAATAAAGTAGTTATAACTTTAAGAAAAGATAGTTTATATTACTTAAGCTACTTTAAACTTATTTTTCTTTAGTCTCTAAGAAGAGTATATTAATACTAATATTACTAATACTAATAAGATTAAGTAATATCTCTTTATAGTATTAATAATAGTAGGATTATAATAATAGCCCTTATAACCTCTAATCTTATACTTAATAGAAGTAGTTATAATATAACCTAAAAGATAGTTTATTTTGCTTAAAACGCTCTTAGTAATTACTCTTTTTTCTTATTTAAAGAGTATTTATTATATACTTAACCCTTAATATTAACTTTAGTTTATTAACTTATAATTAATAGTAAAGTTAACTACTTACCTCACTTTTAACTACCTTATTTAACTTTTTACCTTTTTATAAGTAGAGTTTTTATACTATATAAGTAAATAAGAGATTACTCTATTTTTAATAGCTTTTAACTACTTTCTTTTTACTAAGTTAATATTAATAGTAAATAGCTACTTTAAGCTTATTTAATAGTAACTACCTTTATATATAGCATATAGTATACTTTATTATAAGTTTTTCTTATTATTTAACTACTAAATATTAATTATTAACTACTAACTATAAGAGAATTTTTTACTATTTTTTACTCTTATTAACTTATACTCTTTTTATAATATTATTATATAGTTCTTTTATTTCTCTTATAATACTACTTATCTTTAAGATTTTATTATTTTATTAATAATATTACTTATTAAGCTTACTTACTTTCTTATTAATACTTACTTTTAATATTTTTCTTTATATAAGTAATTAACTTTTATTTTATTATAGAGATCCTTTTTAACCCTTATACCTTTATTTTTAACTACTATTAAGTTATATTAAGTTAAGTAAAAGTAATAAAGTAGTAAATTATCTACTAAATAAATAAGCTTTAGCTATTATAATACTTAATAAGCTCTTTATAATTATAATATAATAATTCTCACTTATAATTTAACTTAATACTTTACTCTATTAGAAATATTAATACTTACCCCTCTATATCTTTAATAAGCTATATAACTTCTTAAATAACTATTATTAATTTATTATAGCTTTATTAGTATTACTCTTTAGTATATTTATAGTTACTAAAAGCTTCTCTAACTATATTTAATTTAGCTACTCTAGCCCTTTTAAATAACCTTCTAAGTAACCCTCTAGCTTTATTAATACTTTTAGTGCTTTTAGCTAGTAACTATTTTATCTCTATCCTTATTAGAGTTTATAGTATAATTAACTAAAGCTTTTAGGAAAAGTTTAGTAATATTAATATAGAATTAAGTATTATTACTTATAAATAAGTTATTTTATACTTCTTATTTAATATAGAATACTACTAACTTAATAGCTTTATTAGTTTTACTTTTTAAAGTTAAGCTTTTATTAACTTTAAAGATATACTAAAGTCTATTTTTAATAACTATAATATAGCTATTATAAAGGAATTTAGAGACTTCTTTATTACTAATAAGGTCTATATTATCTAAGATAGTACCTCTATTACTTCTAATATCTATATTACCCTCTATAGAGACTTCTATTAGTAAATTAATAATAATATTAATAATAAGATAGCTAAGTTTCTCTCTCTTAAAAAAGCTATTAAGGATATTAACTTCTTTAATAATATTAAAAGTATTAAGCTAAAACTATTAGCTTCTTCTAATTATACCTCTTTATATATAGCTCTATCTTTTAAACTAATCTAATATAGATTAAGTACTTTTAGAACTTACTAATTAACTACTTTTATCCCTTTAAGAGGCTTTAATATTAACTTTAGTAAAAGTAATATATTTAATATTATTATACTTAATTAGCTATTTTTTTAATAACTTATAGATCTTATAAAGTTATATAATAATAATATATAATTTAGGAGTAATATATATAATATCTTTAACTTTAAGCTTTTTATCTTTAAGGATTATTATATTAAGGCTAATATTAATTAGTTTTAAACCTTAAGTACTTTCTCTATTATACTTAAAAGTAAAGCACTTAACTATTATTATAATAAGCTCTATAGTAATAATATACTTATTAACTTTACTAGATTAGTTATTAAAGTTAAAGCTTATTTTAAAACTAAAGAGTTATATTAAGTATATCTCTCTAAGTAGTATAATACTACTTTTAACTATATAATTTTTAAGAACCTTAATAAGACTAAAATAAAGTGCCTTAAGATAGTTTTTAATAAACTTATTACTATTTAGTATACTCTCTCTATTATTTACTACTTTAATAATACTTTCTATAACTAAGTCCTTAGTACTTATTAAAGTATACTTAAGTATAACTATACTTTTATAAGCTTTACTAAAAACTATAAAAGTATTACTAACTAGCTTTAATTATCTATTAGTATTATAATATAAAATTAAGCTTATAAATATTTTATAATAAACCTTACTCTTATTAATAATTAATACTAAACTAATTACTAATATAATAGCTATAGCTATAACTTTTAATTTAGCTATTACCTATATATACCTTATAATTAATATTACTTTTAATTTATACTTCCTAAATCTAAGAAGAAATGCTATATTTATAGTAAAATAGGCTACTAGTTAATAAAGTACTTTACTAAAGATTACTATAAAGCTTTTAACTACTTTAAGTAAATATATATTAATAAGGATATTTCTACTCCTATTTTTAATTACTTTTTAGTATAATATAAAAATATTAAAGGTATTAATAACCTTTTTATTAATAGCTATAATAAGGATATATTAAACTACTTTAACACTCTTAATATTAATAACTTTAATACTAAAGATAGCTAGTATAAGTTAGATAGCTTAGATAATAAAAATTAATAATTTCTCACTCTTTATTTTATTAATATTACTTTTAATAGCTTTAAAGTTACTAATATATTAAGTAATAATATTACTTTCTATATTATTACTAAGTAAGATTTATATATTATAGTTAAG